TACTGCTCCACAACACTGGTCCTGCCTTCCAAACAAACCTTTAAAAAGCCCTTTAAGAGAATCATTTAACATAGCACCTATAAATTAACAATATACTTTAGATTCAGAGTGTGTTTTTGTTCTAATAAGTTGGGGAGTAAATGCTAGTAGGGCTTTTTGAAAACTTATTCTTTTATTTATATTTGAAAGGCAGAGAGAAAGAGCTAGAGTGAGTGAACGAGAGGTCCCATTTTCTGGTTCACTCTCCCAAGTGCCTGCAACAGCCATTGGGCCTGGTTCAAGCCGAGAGCTGGGAACTCAATCTAGGTCTCCCACACAGATGGCAGGGATCCAATTGTCTGAGCTGTTACTGATGCCTCTCAGGGTATGTATCAGCAGGTAGTTGGAATTAGGAGTGAAGCTGGGACTGGAACCCAGATACTCTGATATGAGACACAGGTGTCCCAAGTGGTGTCTTCACTGCTGTGTCAAACACTTGTCCAGCTACTGCGAATTTTGAACAGAAAAAGAGCACCCTTTTCCCTGCCAAATAAAGCATTTGTTAACTCTAGCTATTATAGGTTAACATAGTTCAGGAAGTTTCTTTTCTTTTTCTCAGTATTGCCCTGTAATATAAAAATAAAATCATGGAACAATCAGCAGTAAGAGAGGTAAAGTTCATGCACAGAACTATGACAGCACAGCAGTTTGACTTCTCATCTCATTTAACCCACAAAACTGAACTGCTGCACAGGCCTCTGGGCAGAACAAAGGTCATGGATCATGCCTTAGAAGAAGATCCCTGGTTAAACAGCAAGTGCTCTGGAGAGGAAGGAAGCACAGGTGGTATCGTGTTTTGCCAGTGAACACATTCTACCAGGCAGGCTTGTTTGAAATAGTAGCTTTTAAATTTAAATTCGGGCTAGTTTTCTTTTCACTCTCACCAGTCAGTATAGGCACTCAGATTCAAATTCACGGAAGAGAAAAACAAATGCCATGTTGGCTGTTTTTCTGCAAACCTTCTGGCATGAGGCATGTGGTTGAGTGGAGCCCCCGCACATGGTCCAGCAGCACGTCTGTATGGTTGCAGGGCTCTGTGGCTATCAGTTCCTCTCAACACAGCTGCAGCACAGTAGGTAGGGATAAGTGATAGTTCATCCCTAGAATCATGGACCAGATGAAACCTGGTGGATCAGACCTGAAAGACTCTATGATATACTCTAAACATTCAACCTCTTCCAGCTGGAAAAGATTATTTTCTATATCGGATACTGGAATTATACAATTAATCATTTTAGAAGAGTTTTAGGAAGTAAGGAAATATTATTACCTTTACAACAAGTGTTTTCTGGGTTGGGCATTTAACCCACAGGCAAGGTACCCACATCCCACATCAGAGTACCTGGATTCAATATCCAGCTCTGCTCCTGACTTCAACTTCAGTGATGATGGTTCAAGTAACTGGGTTCCCGCTACCCACATGGGAGGCCTGGAATGAGTTGTGGCCCCCAGCTTTGGCCCTGGCCCAACTGCAGTCATTGTGTCTCTCCCATTTTCTTGCTCTGTCTCATTTTGAAAATTTTTTTTTTTTAAAAATTAAAAGAAGTATGTTTTGCTAAAGTTTATGAGAGTCAGTAAAAAAAAAACACAACAGTTTGAAAAAAACAAGAGAGACAATATTATGTTTACTGAGCCATGGATGGATGACCAACAATTGGATGATGTCATTAATAGGCAATTATAACATCCAGCATTCCAAAACCATTTAATAATTTGTTTTGAAGAAATACGGCATCCAAAAGAACAAAAAGACAATCTAAATATTTATTTGAATGGTTGCATGCCAAAATAAAGTTAAATATATGAAATAAAGAAATTAATCCCAACCTGAAAAAGCATCAAAGATTTCATCACTCACTCAAACATGGAAAGGAGTCCAAAAGTTTATGGCAAATGAATTATTTGGAATACTCAATATATTCTCCTAAGGGAATGTTGTGGAGGGTAGTTAGGCTGCCAGTGTAACCCAAAGAACCAGATTAAATGTTAGGTGCACATGGAGCTATACAGCATTATGGTAAAAGAACATAACCTCCATAGTGCCAACTACCCCTGGGCCCCCAGTCCTGACTTCCACAAGTATGTCCTGCAGACTCCAAGCAGAGTGGCTCCCTCAGCCTGCAGTATCCTGGGAAGCCTGGTAGCTGAAGCACCCTGTGGCAGGAGCCTACCCATGTCTTTAGTGGACTCAGGTGGGCAGCTCTTGTGTGAAGTCTGCATCAAAGGTACTTTCCCTTGAACACTGTCAGGTCACAAGTTAGGGACAAGTGCTCTTCATCTTCATCTTGTAAAACTAAACCTGTTCAGAAGGTAGATTGTAACTAGGACTCAAATGAGGTTAGACCTGAATAAGAACATAGTTCATGTGATTCGAGAAGCTTGTCTCATGTCTAGGTTGGCTTTCCAAATATCTGGACACACCTCCCAACCCTCAATCTATAATGCAGTTATTTTATAACACCACTTACATCCTATAACCGCCTTTTTACTAACAAAAGGAAGCATTTGTTATACACTACATCTATATGGATCAATAAAAATGTTCTTGTGTATACTTAGGTTTATAGGGATCTAAAAAACACACATCTTCCAGGAAAAGAAGCTCTCAGGCAGAGTTGTCATGCACCTGAGGAAGCTACAGGCAAGGCAGACAGGCACAGAGTGAGGCCCTGGGGAAAGCTGACCAGCTTATGAGGTCAGCCAGGAGAAATGATGGGTAACCCTTCATGATCCATGTGGCCATGGTTTGAATAGTCATTATGCAAACCACTGCACACGATCCCAATAACTGCTTCAAAATCACAACATCAGAATTCAAAACGATATCCCTCTCCCCCCCAATACTATTCTAAAATCAAATGTCACTATAATTACATGGATATCAACAGTGAGACAGCTAAAGTAACATACAGCTGAAAGAAAGAATAACAGTGAGACTGAGAACTCCACAATCACTGCTTATGCAAATGCACTAAATGACCATTACAAATATTTCTTTTCTGCTCTGATTCACAAATTAGGATGATTACTGGAGATGTACAATTGGGGACAGATCTGTGTGTCACTCGACCTCTGCCTGTCTGGAACAACATTTTAGGTGAGATAGCCCAAATTTTGCAGAAGACACACTTGTTTACTATGGAAAGCATAAACATGCAACAACTTCAGTTTTGCTTAAAGTTTAAAATATGGCTTTCCATTAAATTAAGTTTTTTTTTTTTTTTCTTTTTGACAGGCAGAGTGGACAGTGAGAGAGAGAGACAGAGAGAAAGGTCTTCCTTTGCCGTTGGTTCACCCTTCAATGGCTGCCGCGGCCATCGCGCTGCAGCCGGCGCACCGCTGATCCAATGGCAGGAGCCAGGTGCTTCTCCTGGTCTCCCATGGGGTGCAGGGCCCAAGGACTTGGGCCATCCTCCACTGCACTCTCTGGCCACAGCAGAGAGCTGGCCTGGAAGAGGGGCAACTGGGACAGAATCCGGGACTAGAACCCAGTGTGCCGGCGCCGCAAGGCAGAGGATTAGCCTAGTGAGCTGCGGCGCTGGCTCATTAAATTAAGTTTTCATGGATATAAACTATCATGAAAAACACCTTACTGTTATAGTTAGGAAAACATACAGAAACAAATCTTTAGAATTAAAACACATAAACAAGAGCGCTTTAAAAAGTTTGTCTAAAATTAGAATTAAAAGGTAAGTATACTTTCATGCATAAAAAATTCTGAAGTCATATAAAAGGCATCTTCAAAAAGCTCACGGAAAATGCTCACTATGAAAAAACTATGCATAGATTTCACTTTTTTGCACAAAAATAAATCTATCATTTTTTTAAAAAAAGATTTATTTAGGGGCCAGTGATGTGATGTAGTGGGTAAAGCCACCGCCTACAGTGCCAGCATCCCATATGATTGCCGGTTCATGTCCTGGCTGCTCCTCTTATGATCCAGCCCTCTGCAATGGCCTGGAAAAGCAGTAGATGATAGCCCAAGTACTTGGGCCTCTGCAGCCATGTGCAGCCATATGGGAGACCAGGAAGAAGCTCCTGGCTCCTGGCTTAGGAGTGACCAAGCTACAGCCGTTGCGGCCATTTGGGGAGTGAACCAGTGGATGGAAGATCTCATTCTCTGCTCTGCCTCTGCTTCAAAAAAGATTTATTTATTTATTTGAAAGGCAGAGTTACAGAGAGGCAGAGGCAGAGGCAGAGGCAGAGGCAGAGAGAGAGAGAGAGAGAGAGAGATATTCCATCCACTGGTTCACTCCCCAAATGGTTGCAACAGATGAAGCTGGACCATTCTGAAACTAGGAGCCAGAAGCTTCTTCTGGGTCTTCTACCCAGGTGCAGGGGCTCAAGAACGTGGGCCATCTTCTATTACATAGCAGAGAGCTGGACAGGAAGTAGGGCAGCCAGGACTCAAACTGGTGCCCACATGGTATGCTGGCACTGCAGGAGTTGGCTTTATCTGCTACACCACAGCATAGGCCCCAAAAACTATCTTTTAATTCCATTTTCCACGAACATTTTGAAGTGCCCTTGTATACACAATTTTTACCTTTTTAATTTTAAAAAATTTATTTATATGAAGGGCAGAATGGCACACAAACACACACACACACATATATAAATAAAGGGAGGGAGGGAGGGAGAGAGAGAGAGAGAAAATCTTTCATCTACTTGAACGTACACTCCAAAATGGGATGCTGGTGTTCTTACCTAGCAGCTTAACCTGCTGAACCACAAGGTCAGGTCCTAACTTCTTAATTTTAAGAAATCTGTGAAACACTAAACCTGCATGATTCTTTTTGCTGTCACTTACAATGTTATAGGATTCTCCCTACCTCTGGCCTTGTTTTATAGGAAGAACCATAGGATCTTGGTTTGGTGTCTTTAAAACTATAATTGGAGATAAAAGACTAACAAAAGAACCAACCCTTGCAGCAAATCAGATGCTGTGCTGGTACACTCACCTTGCTCTGGTAGCCTTCTGCAGAACCTTCATTCCAGCCAGGTTGCAAGGTTTCCCTTCCAATTGTCTTTCCTTCAGGAGGGCGCCATCCAAGTGCACTTCACCAAACATTCCACAGGCATCCTGGACCAGAAGGCAGACTCTGTAAAAAGAGCATTCACAATTGTTCTTTGAGGAGAAGTCTGGATCAGGATTTCCCTCTCTTTCTCTAGAAATCCACTGTAGCCATCTTCCAAAATGGCTGAGTGAATGTAAAAGAAGCTGAATTCAAGCACATCTTTTGGATTTGTACACGCAGGTGTATGGATGGATATCAGCAAAATACAGGAGATGGAACTCTCTTAACAGCATGAAACTAAGCCCCATGCCAGTGGCCACACAACACTTGTGATGCCAGCATCTCATATAAATGCCAGTTTGAGTCATGGCTGTTCGACTTCCGATCCAGCTCCCTACTAAAGCACCTGGGAAAGCAGCAGATGATGGCCTAAGTACCTGGGCCCCTGCCACCCAAATAGGAGCCCTGATAAGAGTTCCAGGTTCCTGGCTTCAGCAAACCTTCTGGCCATTGTGGCCATTTGGGGAGTGAAGCAGTGGATGGAAGATCTCTGTCTCTTTCTCTGTCGCTCCCTCTCTCTCTGTAACAGTGCCTTTGAATAAATACATAAACCTAACAAACAAACAAACAAACAAAAAACCACCATAAACCCTATGCCAAATGTGTAAGTAAGCACATAAAGACAAGTATCATCTCAAATGCCCAGAAACACAGGATCCTTTCTCCCTACTTTCATCCCGTTTTCTCTGGGAAGAAACATTTATATTCTGTCTGGATGCTCAATAATGAGAAAAGCTTCCAAGTAACATAACAACAAAATGGGGGCTTTCTCTGAAAAGATACTGATTTACAAACATGCATACCCCAGCAGGAAAAGAACCAGTGACCCCAAGGCAGCAACAAAGAGAAGATGGACATCCAGAGACGTGCTGAGATCTCCCAGTATTAAAGTTCAAAGGGCAGTGTTCATGAGAGCCTGTTTATGACTGAATTGCTACTTTCCTCACTGAGGTAACTGAGGTAAATGAAATCTTCCAAGTATTTATTACACAATAACACATTCATAGAAAATATTTCAAAGGGATTGAAAAAAAAAAAGTCAGTAAATAACATGGCAAATAGACTATAGAGGGGCCGGCGTTGTGGCGTGGCGTGTAAAGCTGGGGGCAGGTTCAGGTCCCAGCTGTTCCACTTCCAATCCAGCTCTCTGTTGGTACCTGGGAAAGCAGTGAAAGATGGCCCAAATTCTTGGGCCCCTGCACCTGTGTGCAAGACCCGGAAGAAGCTCCTGGCTTTGGATGGGTGCAGCTCCCTCCATTGCGGCCAGTGGGGGAGTGAACCAGCGGATGGAGGGCCTATCTCTCTGCCTCTCCTTCTCTCTCTATGTAACTCTGACTTTCAAATAAATAAAATAAATCTTTAAAAAAATAGACTGTGAAACACAAAACTATTTTTCAGATAACATCAAGGAAAGTACATTTTGGAGAACGGATGACACAAGCGAACAATGAACAAGAAAAGTTAGATAAGAAGCCTTGAATGCTATTTTGGCCAGAAGGACAAGAACTCTAGGCTTTCTGATGATGTCTCTACATCTGCAGGTCACCTTGGCTTGCAAGAGAAGCAAAGGTAAATCTTGCCTGAAAGAAAGTGCCTTTAACTGTATCATTAGTGTGCCATAGAGTAAGATTCAACAAGATGTGATCAAATAATTACCATCCAACACAAGGAAGCAAGTCATTATGTGGAAAGATTCCAAAGAAATAATAGGCCTGTTGAGAACCTGAGAGATAAGAATTAACAGATAGGAAAAATAGAATTGTTATTTAAAAAAGATAAAGTCACATACACAAAATCAAAACAAACAAACAAAAAAATAAAACAAGACACAAGAAGTTAGACAAAATGCCTGGATAGGTTTGAAGAAGAATGACATAGAACTTTGAAAAATGAAAGCTATACTTTCTGAAATAAAATTCACTGAGATGTAACACGTAGCTATCTATACTTGGAAAGTGTGTGTATGGGATCTGGGTTATATAACTGATAATGTACCCTGGATGCAACTTGAAAACTGAGAGCCAAAAGCCTGAGGGAAGGGTGGAGAAACAGAGGACAGAATGAGGTGTCACCTATGTCTAATAAAATCCCAGAAGAGCAAAACAGAGAAAGAAGAAGGATCATTGGTAAGTCTAACGATAGAAATTTTCCCAACTCATGTAAGATACAGGAAGAAAAACAAATACCCAGCAGGACAACAGAAAGGAAATCCATTCTAGCACAACACAATTAAAAAGAGAGAGCACCAAAGACAGGCAATTTTAACAGAGGAACACCTGCAAAGAAATAAAAATCTAATTTCCAGCAGTCTTCTCAAAAGCAATGAAGGAAGCTAGAAGACAGCAGAGTAATACCAGAATATTTTCAAAATTCTTATAACCATCTTAGAATGTGTACCATGTACCATGAAAACTATCTTTCAAGAATGGTGGTGATATAAAAACATTTTCAGATAAAGAAAAGCTAGCAGCCTTTTCTACCTACAGAGCCTGACTGAAATATTTACTAATGACTTAGGTAATACCTAAAATAATTTCTAAATTATGCAACTTAGGAAAAAGAAAATTATCCACGAAAAAAGTCTATAAAATGCAAGAAAGACTAGCAAGCAAAAATATAAACAAATAAAAATAAATAAACAACATAATAAAAAACACATCTAATTATGTGTAGAGAGCCAAAAACCTGGAGATGGATGGCAAGAAAGTCAACTGTAGTGAATGCAGCTCAAATGTTCCCAAGTCCTCACATCACTTTCACTTCAGAGGTTAGATACTTAATATAATATATGTGGTAAAACTTCAAGGATAACCACCAAAGAAGAGAAATGGGGACTGGCATTGTGGCACTGCAGGTTAAACTGCTGCTTGTGATGCCAGCATCCAAAATTGAAGTGTTGGTTTGAGTCCTGGTTGCTCTACTTCTAGTCCAGCTCCCTGCTAACATGCCTGGGAAAACAACAGATGATGGCTCAAATATTTGGGCCTTTGCTACCCATATGGGAGATCTGGAGGGAGATCCTGGCTCCTAGCTTTGGCCTGGCTAAGACCTGGTTGTTGCAGCCATTTGGGAAGTGGACCAATAGACAAATATGTCTTTAAAAAGTTCCATATCTGGGGCCGCTGCTGTGGCGTAGTGGGTAAGAACGCTACCTGTAGTGCTGGCATCCCATATGGGCGCCAGTTTGAGACCCGGCTGCTCCACTTCCGATCCAGCTCTCTGCTATGGCCTAGGGTGCAGTAGAGGATGGCCCAAGTCCTTGGGTCCCTGCATCCATATGCAGACCCAGAAGCTCCTGGCTTCGGATTGGCACAGTTCCGGCCATTGTGCCCAACTGGGGAGTGAACCAGCAGATGGAAGACTTCTCTCTCTCTCTCTCTGCCTCTCCTCTTTCTGTGTAACTCTTTCAAGCAAATAAATAAATATTTTAAAAAATTCAAATGTAAGAAAAAATTTAAATAGATATTTGTCCTTGATTTTTCATTTAATTATATTCCTTAGGCTGCAAATGTGTCCGATAGGATATGGAACTTTTTTTTTTCAAGATTTATTTATTTATTTGAAAGTCAGAGTTACACACAGAGAGAGAGGGAGAGGCAGAGAGAGAGAGGTCTTCCATCCTCTCGTTCACTCCTCAATTGGCACTCCACAGTGCTGGCCCCTGAAATTCTTTCAACAACATACTTTTCAACTCATAAGTCAAATAGGAAATCACAGTGGAAAAGAGATAATACTTGCCGTTGCCGCGGCTCAATAGGCTAATCCTCCACCTTGCGGCGCCGGCACACCGGGTTCTAGTCCCGGTCGGGGCACTGGATTCTGTCCCGGTTGCCCCTCTTCCAGGCCAGCTCTCTGCTATGGCCCGGGAGTGCAGTGGAGGACGGCCCAAGTGCTTGGGCCCTGCACCTGCATGGGAGACCAGGAGAAGCACCTGGCTCCTGGCTTCGGATCAGTGCAGTACGCTGGCCACAGCGCGCTGGCTGCGGCGGCCATTGGAGGGTGAAACAACAGCAAAAGGAAGACCTTTCTCTCTCTGTCTCTCTCTCTCACTGTCCACTCTGCCTGTCAAAATAAATAAATAAATTTTAAAAAGTTGACAATGTGTTTGATACCAAAAAAAAAGAGATAATACTTTAAATTAGTTGATAATAAAAACACCACATTAAGACCAGTGAATCACAACGATATGTTAGGAAACATAGTCTGTAGTCTTTATAACAAATGTTAGCACTTAAAGCAAAGTCTAGGGTGTTTCTGTCACAGATCAGCAGGGCTTATCATCACATGCAGAGGGCAGGGCATCCTCCTTAGGAAATGCAGTCTTTTCCACCTTCAGCTCACCTACATGTCTTGGTCCCCAAGGCTCTGCCTTGATCTTCCTATTTAGAAGCAGAGTAGAGAATTCTGTTACGGAGTTGGGTAGGGGATGAGGATGCCTTTAAATGGTGAAGACAAAAACAGACACTACAAACCAACTGTAAAAATGTATATTTTCATTCCCATTCTCAAGGAGCATACTGTAAACTGTGATACACCTCAGTTTCCAGAAAGAAGGGAGGGAAACAAAATGTGATTGGGATTTGAATGGAAAAATTAACTTCAATCCAGAAATCTATACCCAGACAATATGCATATAAAGTTTGAAGACAGATTACTGACAGTTTAATGAATGGATTAAAAAATTTTGCCTTTGACACAGCCCTCATTTGCCCCTCTTTAGGAAGCTGGACATAGGTACTGAATGATGTTAACTAAGAAACAAAGATATGGGGGGGGGGCTGTGTTGTGGCACAGCAGGTTAAGCTGTGCCTGTTGACACCAGCATTCCATATGGGTGCCAGTTGGAGTCTTAGCTGTTCCACTTCCAGTCCAGCTCGCTATTAATGGCCTAAGAAGAGATGCTGATAATTAACAGAGGCTGGACATAGAATTCACAATAAATACATAGGAAACTAAATTTAAATACGCAGGAAAGAAAAAAAGTTTTTTTCAAAGATTTATCTTATTTATTTGAAAAACAGAGTTGCAGGAAGAGGGAGAGGGAGAGGGGAGAGAAAGAGAGAGAGAGAGAGAGAGAGAGAGAGAGAGAGAGAGATCTTCCTCCAGCTGGTTCACTCCCCAGATGGATACGATGGCTGGAGCTGAGCCAATCTGAAGCCAGGAGCCAGGAGGTTCTTCTGGGTCTTCCACGTGGGTGCAGGGGCCCAAGGACTTGGGCCATCCTCTGCTGCTTTTCCAGGTGCATTAGCAGAGAGCTGGATCAGAAGTGGTGCAGTTGAGACTTGAACTGGAGCCCATCTGGGATGCTGGCACTGCAGTCCAGGGCTTTAACCCACTGTGTCACAGTGCCAGCCTGAAAAGTTTTATTACAGTCAAGACAAAGACAAAACTCCCCACAAACAAAAACACAAAGCCTTTCTCCTTTTGACTGTGTTCAAAAAGGGAATTAGCTAGTACCTGTGCTTTAACTTTATGTGACATTTGCCTGTATCTCAAATAACCAAGAAAGGGTGTACTTACTTATTCTTCCACCCTAGAGATGAGTTACCATTATTGTTCTTTTCCTAGCTTTTGTTCACACTTGGACACACACACTCCCACCTTGTATGGCTTCACAGCTCAGCGGCATGCTGGCTCAGGCCTGAGGTGGAGTCATTCCCACTGGTTCAACTGGATTGAAACTGGCATTCCACAGACAGCCCAAACCAAACTAGCTTATCAGCAGCACACACAGAATTCCAAGCACTTGTCATGCTTCTTGCTCTATCAAACACTATCTTCTAAAATCAGTGCTAGCTCTACAGGCCTGAGCAGAAAAGAGCCCCATGATCAACTGGTTTTTCCTGAACAACCAGACAGTACCCTAAGTTAAATAATACTCAGTGGAACTCACATAGTTTCACAGGGAGACAGTACCATGTTAGCAACTCTGGATCTTGCAGCAATCATTTACTTGTGCGGACTTATTTTACTAATATTTTCACAGGAATAAGACGACCTGAGAGATCTGCTGTGCATATTAAAAGTGACTCACATGATATAGGGCTTGGCAGAGGGATGGGCACAAGCATATGTATCTTTCCTGGGTGGGGTACTTAGACTAGTTCTTAAAATTTTCTTCTTCTTTTTTTTTTTGACAGGCAGAGTTAGAGGGAGAAAGAGAGAAAGGTCTTCCTTTGCCATTGGTTCACCCCCCAAATGGCCACTATGGCCGGTGCGCTGTGGCTGGCCCACTGTGCCGATTCAAAGCCACGAGCCAGGTGCTTCCTCCTGGTCTCCCATGTGGGTGCAGGGCCCACGCACTTGGGCCATCCTCCACTGCCCTCCCGGGCCACAGCAGAGAGCTGGACTGGAAGAGGAGCAACCAGGACAGAATCCGGCTCCCCAACCGGGACTAGAACCCGGGGTGCCAGTGCCGCAGGGGGAAGATTAGCCAAGTGAGCCATGGCGCCGGGCAGTTCTTATAATTTTCTGCACATAGTTTGTTTGTTTGTTTGTTTTTGAAGACTTATTTATTTATTTGAGAGGTAGAGTTATAGACACAGAGGGGGGAGACAGAGAGTGGTCTT